GTTCCCTGCTGTTTCCGTAGAGATAAATAAGTGTAATAACATACTGTGGAACATTCCTGGCAACAGATACAGTGTATGGAACTCAGAAGGAAGTCAGTTGTGCTCTTTTGCTAGATTCGGTTTCTTGCTTTAGTACTGATCATTTGCAGTGACGTTATGCTGGGGGTGTTCCGCATGTACCTCTATGGCGGGATGTTCAATTATGATTGCGCGTGTGTTACCGTGGAGACGCAATGCACACATTAGCAAACACTGTTGAAAACTGTTTTAAACCTGTAGGCGTCAGAGTTTTTTTCCTAAAACGTTCGATTTTGACATCTTAGTCCTGGTTGAGTCCTAGTTTAGTCTTGGTTTAGGCCTGGGTTACTTCAGGTTCAGTCCTGATTTAGACGTGGTCTAGACCTGGTTTAGTCCTGGTTTAGTCCTGTTTCCATCCTGGTTTAGTCCTGGTTTAGTCCTGGTTTAGACCTGGTTTAGACCTGGTTTAGTACTATTTTCATCCTGGTTTAGTCCTGGTTTAGGCCTGGGTTAGTCCTGGTTTAGTCCTATTTTCATCCTGGTTTAGTCATGGTCTAGGCCTGGGTTCAGTCCTGGTTCAGTCCCGGGTTAGACCTGGTCTAGACCTGGTTTAGATCTGGTTTAGTCCCGGTTTAGTCCTGGTTTAGCCCTGGTTTAGTCCTGGTTTAAGCCCTGGTTTAGTCCTGGGTTAGTCCTATTTTTATCCTGGTTTAGCCTTTGTTTAGTCCTAGTTTAGTCCTATTTTAGTCCTGGTTTAGACTTGGTTTAGCCCTGTTTTCAGTTCTGGTTTTCATTTTGTAATCGTAGCTCACCAGACACAAAAGGTTGTAGATTTCTGCCGTAAACGTCAACTGTTGCATGCAGTTAGTTTAGTGAGTAGCAGATTTTTTTTTTTTTCTTTAAATTTCTGTCAAAATGGCTACACAATACTGCCAAATTCTAAGAAAATAAAACTGGATTGGTACGAGTGGTTGTGTACGGGTGAAGCAATGACGTTTTGAATACAGAAGAATAAAAATTACTCAAACATGCACGAATCATTCTAAATACAATACAACCATTCATTCACCAACATGAGACAGTGAAACATTTGCAGATTAAAGTTATAAAAGTGTCTAAAAGCACGTGTAACGATCCTGTAAAATATTATGAATTGAGTTTTTAAGTTGACAGAGGTAAAAGCGAAGTAAGTTTTAAAGTAAATCCTACAGAGAACTGAAATATATGTGTCCACTTTGAGAGCGAAAATGGGTAAAACCAACAATAAAATGGTAAAAAACTCTGCACTGTGTACCTTTTTTTTGGTTGGGGGTCTGTCACCTTCTTGTTTCTATGGAGATGTCATCGCTCTTGCCTGGAATATTCCACAGTGTGACATTAAACAGCTCTACTTTGCATTTATTCAATTACTAGTGGGTTTATAGCTCAAAAAATACCTAGAAAAACAGGGACTCTGACTGTGAGCGGGGTCGCCTCTCCACAGATCTGACCTGTAACTTGGCCTAGTTCGGTCTCCATGGAGATAGAAAGGTTTAACGCCACACTGTGAAACGTTCCAGAAACCAGAAAAGTTACACGATGCACTTTTAAGGCGACAGGAAAAGCAAGATGGGGCTAATAAAAAAATAAAATAAAAAAAAACATTGTATGAAGTTGCTTTTTATTTGTTTCATTCAAGGTTTTCCAAAATAATTAATTAAAACTTGTCTGAAATCTTATGGAAAAATACAGCGTGGTAGAACATGGGGAGGGGGAGCCACCGGAAAATGCGGAGATAAAGAAGTTCGGATGGGCCCAGCTAAAAGTCGTACTGCGGTATACAGGAAGAGAATAGAGGCAGGAGACAGCTCAGCACATTCAGTTTGCTGGGTTAGTTCAGCGGCCGGGGAGAGGGGGAGGAAGAGGAGGAGAGGAGGAGGCGAAGAGGAGGAAGAGGAGGAGGAGAGGAAGGTCCAAGGCTGGAGACGTGCGCTGACGTTGAGCCACAGTGCCCCTCGGTGGTGGGTAAAGGCTACTACAGGGACAGTGATGGGGAAATGATGAGAAAGCAAAGACACAAGGGAAGTAAATATGGAGTTGTTGTAATATTAACATTTCAAAATTATTTTCGATACTAAAGAATAGACTCGATACTCAATACTGATTCTGATACCACAATGACAATAAAAAGAACATACCATATTTTTCGCACTATAAGTCACTCCTGAGTATAAGTCGCACCAGGAAAAAAAGGGGTAATATAGACTGAAAAATACGGTATGTTTTTTTTATTGTCATGGTATCGGAATCGGTACTGATGAAGAAGAAAATATATAATATAATATAATATAATAGCTCAATCACACGGGGGGAGCTCGGAGTAGAGCCGCTGCTCCTCCATGTCGAGAGGAGCCAGTTGAGGTGGCTCGGGCATCTGTTCCGGATGCCTCCTGGGCGTCTCCCTCGGGAGGTGTTCTGGGCATGTTCCACCGGGAGGAGGCCACGCGGAAGACCCAGGACACGCTGGAGGGACACGCAGCATAAACCAGCAGTGATGTCTATCCATTCATGCTGCCCTGTCGAAATGAGCGACCTTACGTTTTTCTGTTTACTGTTTTATAGACCCTGACCTCCCCAGTTTGACAACATATTTCTTTAGATTAGAAACGGCAGGTTTGATGCTGTTTGCACACAGTGATCAGACTTTATACCTCAGTTATGTCAAATCTAAACTCATTTATCTAAATCTGCGTAGTTCATTTGGACAGTCATATTCTGCTCAAATAGGGCTCCAACTAAAGGGAGCACATATTGACAGGACAATGTATCCATCGAATAGTGCTCCCACTGTAGAATCACCATTATGTAATAATTTAGATGAATTTGGGCAGAGGAGCAAATCTTGACTAAGTTGTGTGTCAAATAATGCACCACTAGAGGGTGCACATCTCACCTTTGTGATACTGGGGACTACGGGTGTGAAGAAATATCGTTTAATGTGATGATACAGTATGAATATCATGGGCTGCTGTATCGTATCGCCAAGACAATTTTTTGGTATATTTTACAAAATTTTGTTACAGCGCTACAGTTTTGTTGCTTGTTTAGAGGAAGGAATCTTGTTTATGCAAAACATTTGACATATTCACCGTTTTGAAGATTTGTGTTTCGTATTAACTTTGCACAAGAAGTGGTTTAATAAAGACTTTTAGTATCACTGCCATGATTTTGCCTTTATTTTTTTATTGAACCATATATATAATCTATTTGAAATATATCATATCGAATCAGAAGTGCACTTTATTGAGAGATGTATCCTATTGGCAACTTCTTAATGACACTCAGCCCTACTGGGGACATTGAAGACTGGACAATTCCTGCAATTTAATTTTATTTTCTGTATTTTTCACACCATTGATACATTTGTGGACGACGTCACAGACAAGTGCAGTCCAGGAACAAAAGAGACGCGGACGGCAGCATTCCCCATGTTACAATGAGAAGCGTTTTGCCTCTGAACCAGTTTTGGACATGTATTGGTCCGACATTGCATATGGTGTTGCAATATACCACATAGTCTTTATAATATCCCAAATATAATTAAATCCTTTTGTATAATTCTTTCTTGCCCCTTATGCCTGCAGGCGTACGGGGCAGCCTGTCACTCAAGCATCTTGTGGTAGAAAGGCAAGGCGGGAGGGTGCAGCGGGGATATTTGCTTTCTCCCCAACTAGTCAATTATATAATTAATAACTTCACAGTCATTATTTATTGAGCAGAAGAAACACTGATCGAGATGCTGGACTTTTGCGCCACATACGGACTAAACCAGGACTGAAACTATGGCAAGCCAAACTGTTCACATTTATGCCTATTTTTAACGCACTAACACGCGTCAAATAATAATAAGATGCATCAAATACGCAGAAATATTTTTTAAAAGCACCCTGGGGGTATTATACGGGTTGGTCATGTTTAATTGATCATTTTTTTGGATATAAAGCTCAATGTCTTGTGAATTAAAGTGCGCTGAGTACTCTGATGGCTTGAAAGCTTCGGCGGTGGCGCTGTCCATTTTTACTGTCAAAATGGCGGCCCGCCCACTGTGAGTCACGTGGGGTCCAGAGCTCTATATTTATAATCTGCTAATGACTGTGTAGATTTTCTCATTCTGGTGTTTGTGACTCCCCGCCCCTCTAAACAAACGAGAATTCCACCCACACTGTCAGTTTACAGTTTATCCTCAGCACGTTTGAAGTTATCCACACATCTCTACCGTGTATGGTGATGGTCAAACTAATGGGCTGTTGGACCAATGATCCTCTTTGTTTCTGACAAATGGAATATCGGACTAATGGGATCTGTACTTGACGGTTCATTTTGGGCTGTCAGACCAATGGCATGGAATGAGAGACAAACTGAGAGACATGAGATTTTTTTCAATCTATATGTTATGTAATCTTTCTAAGATTGGCTAACTACACGCAGGAACCAGAGGAGGTCACTCACAACAGGAGACGGCTCCTCCACTAAACTGCAGTGGAGTGAACTGTTTAAGTAGGCAGTAACATTATACTCAGGTATAGTAGTCCTCCGTTGCCAGTCGAGCTACAAGCAACCAGTTTATGTAACAATAGACTTTTGCGTGTGGATAAAAAATGTTTTCTGGCATTCATAGCTTTCACTGTTAACTGTGTGTCCAAGGTGCAGCTAAAGTCCGACCGTATAGTCACGATCCTGGATGCAGCACGGAGGATTCTGGATGTGGGAAATATCACAGGGGACGATTTGGAAGCTACGCTGAAGGAGAAGTTAGGGTAGAAAGTTGATGGTTGGGACTTGACACTGGGTGTGGGTATTTTATAACATTTTAGTTGAAAAGTAAGGAGACACTAAATGGACATGGCTTTACTTCACACTTATCACTGTGTATAATGTGCACTGAGAACTATAAAACCAGTAGGTGGAGACAGGATGCCACCTGCCATAAAACTCCACTAGAAGAAGAAGAAGAAGGAGGAGGAAGAGGAAGAAGAGGAGGAGGAGGTCACTTCTCTGTCTCCTCCTCCTCTTCTCACTGTGGTTCATGTTCCACTCGGCGTGAGGGACAAACGTGAATTGGTGGATTTTCCGGATTCCAAACTGTCTCTTCCTCAGCGGTGAGTTGTTGAGCAGCAATCGGTGAACTGTTTTTTGTGATTAGCGCTCGTATTTCTGTTGCTAAATAGCACTTAGCGTCTTGTTTGTTAGCGCCGCTCCGCTCCCATTCAAAACCCCCGTGTATATTAGCGCTGTTTACTCGCGCTTGGAGTTTTGGAAACACCGATTATACTTATTAAATATTGAACGCTTTTAAGTTTACATTCACGCCGAATTGTAGATAACAGTTTAGTTTACTAGAAGCATTCATTCATTTATTCATTCATTATTTTCCCTTTTAAAATTTTGTCCGTTTTGGCAACTTTTTGAGCGAACGCTAAATAAGCTATAGGCTACCATTTTGTTTTTCTTAGAATATCAAGGAAGCTACGAGTATTTTTGATTTGATGCGCAACTTGAATTATTCATCTGATCATCTGCTTGATTATTTTGATCTCTACTTAAATCATTTGATCTATTGAGTATTTTTGATATATGAGAAAGTGCACTTCCCTTTTTGATTAATGAATTAATTATTGATTATTATTATCGATTATTATTATTATTATTGATTATTATTACCGATGACTGTGTTTAATAGTCACTTGAGTGCAGGATGAAAATGAAATAAGATTGATAACTTTAATTTACAAACTTATGTATTGATAAATTGTATTTGTTCTGCATGTGTAAATATGTTATCTGCCAATGTGGCACTATAAAAGGTGAACTTGTTTGTAATGGGTTTAATGCAGCTTTGCACAACTTTCACAGAAACAAAACTTAAAACTGCATGGCTAATTTAGTTAAACTAAGTGAAGAAAAAAGCAGCTCTTGTGTGCTGATGCGGCTCAGCTTCCGTCAGACTAAAGGACACAATTCAGTGGAATATAGGTTAGGGTGACTATATTTGCATTTGTCAAAACCAGGACACTGTACGGGGGGTGAGAGGTGGGGCCTCGTCATCGACATTGAGCTACTCTCACCTGGCAAAGCTTTTATTGTTTTTCGGTGTCCTGGTGAGCTTTGAGATCCCTGGCACCTCCACTGGACACCGAAACATATGTGCTGCTTTGTACACTGTGCACATGGCCTCACACTTGTCTCAACCGGGACTGAAAGCGGGGAATTTCATGAAAAAGTTGCTCTGTTCCACAAAAGCCCTGTCTTCACGTGTGTTACATATATCATATCTGCTGAACATGTGGATTAGAATTCAGAGCAACAAGGTTGTTCAGTATGTCTGTATTTTATTTGTTCCCTTAATTTATTTATTTTTTGCTACAGAAAAAGTGTCCCTTTAAAATCAAATACAAACTTGGTTGATTCATTCAGCTAAATGGAACTTGCTTATAAAACACACATTGAAACATTCTTACATGTGATTTACTATGTGTGTGTGATTTACTATGTGTGATTTTTATGTGTGATTTTTATGTATATTTAGCTAGAGTCACTTTATTTGAACAGTTAACAGTGATTTTACTTGACATTTCTTTTCCTTTGTTCTAATGCAGAGCTACAAGATCCACCAACAGAATGGCCTTCACATGTGACCAGTGTGGAAAGGAGTGGCCAAAAGCTTCCAAATTAAAGGAACACTACAGAACTCACACAGGAGAAAGACCATATAGTTGTGACCAGTGTGGGAAGGGATTTAAAGAGTCTGGTGCGCTCACAGGTCATATGAGAATCCACACAGGGGAGAAACCATTTAAATGTGAACATTGTGGAAAGGAGTTTAGAAAGTCTGGTGATCTCCATCAACATAGGAGAATCCACACAGGGGAAAAACCATACAGATGTGATGTCTGTGAGAAGACATTTTCACTGTCAAGCAACCTAGCAAAGCATATGAGAATCCACACTGGAGAAAAGCCATTTAAATGTCAACAGTGTGGGAAAGAATTTAGAAAATCTTGTGATCTCCATCGACATATGAGAATCCACACAGGGGTAAAACCATACAAATGTGATGTTTGTGAGAAGACATTTTCATGGTCAAGCAACCTAGAAAAGCATATGAGAATCCACAGAGGAGAGAAGCCACATGAGTGTGATGAGTGTGGGAAAGCTTTTACTCAACACACCCATCTCAGTAGACACAAGAGAACTCACTTCTGGCAGATACTATATGAGTGTGACCAGTGTGAAAAGGCTTTTAGAACATCCCAGGAACTCTCCAGTCACTACCGAACGCACACAGGGGAAAAAGCAGACAGCTGTGAACAGTGTGGGAAGAAATTGATAGACTGTGGTGACCTCAAACAACATATGAGAATTCATGCAATGGAAAGACGTTACAGCTGTGATGTTTGTGGGAAAACATTTTCACGGTCAAGCAACTTAGAAATACATATGAGAGTCCACACAGGGGAAAGACCTTACAGCTGTGACCAATGTGGGAAGGGATTTAAACACTCTGGTGCGCTCACAGGTCATATGAGAATCCACACAGGAGAGAAACCATTCAGCTGTGATGTTTGTGAGAAGACATTTACACAATCAAGCAACCTAGAAAAACATATGAAAATTCACACGGGAGAAAAACCATACAGCTGTGACCAGTGTGGGAAGAAATGTATAGAGTCTGCTGACCTCAAACGGCATATGAGAATTCATACAGGAGAGAAACCGTACAGCTGTTTTGTTTGTGAGAAGACATTTTCATGGTCAAGCAACCTAGAAGCACATATGAGAATTCATACAGGAGAGAAACCATACAGCTGTGACCAGTGTGGGAAGAAATTTATAGAGTCTGGTGGCCTCAAACAACATATGAGAATCCATACAGGAGAGAAACCATACAGCTGTGACCATTGTGGGAAGACATTTGCACGGTCAAGCATTCTAGTAACGCATATGAGAATCCACACTGGAGAGAAGCCATTTAAATGTGAACAGTGTGGGAAGGAATTTAGAGAGTCTTGTGCTCTCCATCGACATATGAGAATCCACACAGGGGAAAAACCATACAGATGTGATGTTTGCGAGAAGACATTTTCATGGTCAAGCAACCTAGAAGCACATATGAAAATCCATACAGGAGAAAAAACATACAGATGTGACCAGTGTGGAAAGAAATTTACAGAGTCTGCTGACCTCAAACAACATATGACAATCCATACAGGAGAGAAAACATACAGCTGTGATGTCTGTGAAAAGACATTTTCATGGCCAAGCAGTCTAGAAGAACATATGAGAGTCCACACTGGAGAGAAGCCGTACCAGTGTGACGAGTGTGGGAAAGCTTTCTCTCAACAATCCAGTTACAATAGACACAAGAGAACTCACTTCTGGCAGATACTATATGAGTGTGACCAGTGTGAAAAGGCTTTTAGAACATCCCAGGAACTCTCCAGTCACTACCAAACACACAAAGGAAACAAACCAGACGACTGTGAAGAAAGAGGGGAAGACTTTCCGGTCTGTGAGGAACCGTCTGAAACATGTCCAAATCTTACAGACTGAAGAGAAAAGCTGCAGTCTTGTGCCAAATTTTGCACCAGTAGAGGGCGCACACCTCACTTTTGTGATACTGGGGACTAGGGGTGTGCAGAAATATCTATATCGATATTATTTAATGTGATGATACAGTATGAATATCGTGGGCTGCTGTATTTATGTATCGCCAAGACTATTTTTTGGTTGTTGTTTTTTTTTATTATTTTGTTACAGCTCTACAATTTTGTTGCTTGTTTAGAGGAAGGAATCTTGTTTATGCAAAACATTTGACATATTCACTGTTGTGAGGATTTGTGTTTCGTATTAACTTTGCACAAGAAGTGGGTTAATAAAGACTTAGCAACATGTTAATGACACCCAGCCCTACTGGGGACATTAAAGACTGGACAATTCCTACAATTTAATTTCATTTACTGTATTTTCCGGACTATGGATGGATTTGTGGGTGATGTCACAGACAAGCTGCATGCGCAGTCGAGGAGCGTTCCCCATGTTACAATGAGAAGCGTTTTGCCTCTGAACCAGATTTCTTATATACTTTATTTGTAAACATTACATCAGCTCTACATCGATATTATTTACATTATCAGGAACCACAACAGGAGACAGCTCCTCCACTAAATAAAATTATACCTGGGTATTGTAGTCCTTCGTAGTCGGGCTACAAGCTACCAGTTTGCTTGTCTCTTTGGGGTGGGGCTCACCATCCAGTATTGGAAGATTAATTTTTCTCCTCTCCATGTCTGCTGTTCTCAACTCTGATCCGAACAAGAAACCTGACCTAAAGATAAGGCCAGAAAAAAGTTGCTTAAAATAATGCACTGTTACTATACTAGTCTTGCTACGTTCTTCTCAAAACAATATGTTGTACAACAATAATGTTCAAAATATTCACAATTACAAAATTACAACATGAATGAACCAAATAAAATTGCTTAACTGTACTTGTTCTATTTTTTTTTTTTTTTTTTTTGGAGTGCACAGTGAATACACCTTTAAAATAACACCAAATAGCTTTAAGATGCATTACAAATACACTATGGCTTTTAGTTCTAATAATCTGCACCAAAAATCCACAGTAAAAAGGGCATTTTCAGGGTAAATAGGCTAGTGGAGGTTTGCATACGAGCTAGTGCCGATTAGCATGCTAAGATAGCGCAGTACATTGTGTATAAGACCCCAGTGCAGCACGTGCTCACAAAGGCTCCGGGGTTTCCAGGCTTCTGTGGCTCAGCACACAGCACTTCAGTATCTTAAGAATAAATTCTAATTCAAATGTTTGGTCACTAACATGAATTGTAATGACACTTTAGGTGGTTCTTAGCATTGGTTTGTGCTGAATCACGAAAATCAAAAGCAGAATGCCGACTCATCATGTTAGCTTCACAACAACACGAGTGAGGGGCAGTTTTCTGCTCAGTGTCTGATGAGAGACAAACTGAGAGACATGAGATTTTTTTCAATATAGATTTCATGTAATCTTTCTAAGATTAGCTAACTAAGTGCAGGAACCAGAGGAGGTCACTCACAACAGGAGACGGCTCCTCCACTAAACTGCAGTGGAGTGAACTGTTTAAGTAGGCAGTAAAATTATATTCAGGTATAGTAGTCCTTCGAAGCCAGTCGGGCTACAAGGAGTTCATGTAACAATAGACTTTTGTGTGTGGATAAAAAAAAATTTTCTGGCATTCACAGCTTTCATTGTTAACTGTGCATTGGAGGTGAAGTAAAAGTCCAACCGTATGGTCATGATCCTGGATGCAGCACGGAGGATTCTGAATGTGGGAAATATCACAGGGGACGATTTGGAAGCTACGCTGAAGGAGAAGTTAGGGTAGAAAGTTGATGGTTGGGACTTTGCACTGGGTGTGGGTATTTTATAACTTATCACTGTGTATAATGCACACTGAGAACTATAAAACCAGTAGGCGGAGACAGGATGCTACCTGCCATAAAACTCCACTAGAAGAAGGAAGAGGAGGAGGAGGTCACTTCCCAAATAAGTGGAAGCAATGAACAATTCAATGGGAAACAGGAAAATGGAAATACAAATTTTGAGTCGATTCGGACACTCAGGATTAAACTACTCTTTACATAAAATAGGAAAACATAATACCGGGCATTGTGACTACTGTGGACAACCAGAAACAATAGAAACTGTATCCATGGAATGCAGGAAATATACAAAGGAAAGAAATAAAATGAATAAAGGGATGGAAGACTTAAAAATGAAATATTATTTGAAACTATTTCTCCCTGGGTGCATTGTAGAAATTCTACCAGAGTTTTGTTTAAATTTCTCAGATATTTAATTTGATTAACAGGGTTTGATTTATTATTTTGCTTTAGTTATCATTTGATCACTGTTGTTATTATCTATATATATATATATATTTTTTTTATTTTGTTTTTGATCACCAAGTCGCATTTCAGTTCACAGTCTTTATCAGTTGGTGGCGGTAATGCACCTGTAGTTGTTTTCCAAACGCCAATAAAACCTCACAAGAAGAAGGCGGAGGAAGAGGAGGAGGAGGAGGTCACTTCTCTGTCTCCTCCTCCTCCTCTTCTCACTGTGGTTCATGTTCCACTCGGCGTGACGGACAAACGTGAACTGGTGGATTTTCCGGATTCCAAACTGTCTCTTCCTCAGCGGTGAGTTGTTGAGCAGCAATCGGTGAACTATTTTTTGTGATTAGCGCTCGTATTTCTGTTACTAAATAGCACTTAGCGTCTTGTTTGTTAGCGCCGCTCCGCTCCCATTCAAAATCCCCGTGTATATTAGCGCTGTTTACTCGCGCTTGGAGTTTTGGAAACACCGATTATACTTATTAAATATTGAACGCTTTTAAGTTTACATTCACGCCGAATTGTAGATAACAGTTTAGTTTACTAGAAATATTCATTCATTTATTCATTCATCATTTTCGCTTTTCAATTTTGTCCGTTTTGGCAAATTTTTGAGCGAACGCTAAATAAGCTATAGGTTTCTATTTTGTTTTTCTTCCTTGAATATGAAGGAACTGACGAAGCTACGACTATTTTAAATTTGTTGCGCAACTTTAATTATTCATCTGATCATCTGCTTGATTATTTTGATCTCTACTTAAGTCATTTGATTTATTGAGTGTTATTGATATATGAGAAAGTGCACTTCCCTTTTTGATTAATGAATGAATTATTGTTCGATGACTGTGTTTAATAGTCACTTGAGTGCAGGATTAAATGAAATAAGATTGATAACTTTAATGTACAAAATTATATATTGATAAAGTGTATTTGTTCTGCATGTGTAAATATGTTATCTGCCAGTGTGACAGGATAAAAAGGTGAACTTGTTTATTTAACTTGAGAAAAAAATGTGGTTATTTCTAATATACAAAGTTAGTATCTCCAGTCCAGATATTCAAAATGTTTATAAAAGGGAATTTTATACTAAAGAAGTGATCCTAATGGTATAATAGGCAGCCATTGTACTTGAGGGACACTTTTTTGGATAAGAGTGCAAAAAATCTGTTTATATATATATATATATATATATATATATATATATATATATATATATATATATATAGTTTGTTTCTATTTTCTTTCATGAAGCATGAAGCAGGGGAGGGTTAGTCTGATTTATCAGCCGGTTTTTATTTGGTCGTGATGCATGTAATGCGTCGCTAACTGGTATATTAAGCTTTTCCCAAATCTCGTAGGAAGAAGGGCAATAATGTCTTTCCCCTTGATAAATGTCACCAAACATTCTCTTTGTTCCAGCTTTAAATCCTCGATCTCGGGAATCATTGCCATCACAGAATGTACGGCTCTTCACTGATTGGCTGCTGCCTGAACTCACACTTCCGTGGTTCTTGCAAACCATCTAGTGTATTAGAATTCTTGATCTAGTTGCTGGAGAGAAATGAAATTGAGTGGAGGTGCTAGGTGGTGCCGGCCTGAGTAGGGGAGGTTGTGGCACCATGGAAATATTCTTATAAAAATGCACCCCCTAATAACATTTTAAATGTTGTAATGTTTTGACTATATATTGATTTATTTCTGTGTTGCACTTACATAGAATGGTTCAGGTACAGCTGCAATACCAAATGCCTCCAGTAGGAGTGGGTAATGGCACAGTTAAGGCAGACTCTCGGCGCAGCCATAGACTGTATAAAAGAAGTGGACTAAGTGAGTGTGACGCCACCCACAGCGTTGAGCGCCGCTCAAATGAAGCTCGAAATGCTCACACTTACAGGAGCGAATCTGGAGCCAGGCTCTGTTATGAATAGGAGTTTTGTGACGGACAAAATAGCGAAAAAAAAAAAATATGATCATGTAGAGCGGGTTAATATGAACATTTTAAGAAAAAATATGAGGCTCACAGCAGCATTTACAGAGAGAGGAGCGAAGATACTGATGTAAGTCAATAGGAGCCAGAGTCAGAAGGAGCCAGAAGAGCCTCCTGCAGCACTTTCTATTTGGCATGCGGCGGTTAGTGCGTTAGCTATGTCCACTCATATATACAGTCTATGGACGCAGCAGAAGCAGAATCAGTGTAAACTGTTGCTTAACGGTCAGTCCCGATGACTCAGCAGAGCTGTTTTTCTGTCCTTACAGAATTAAAGTTTTTCTGTTCCACCAAAGCCCTGGCTTCTGTCGTCACGTGTGTTACATATATCATATCTGCTGAACATGTGGATTAGAATTCAGAGCAACAAAGTTGTTCAGTATCTCTGTAAATGTTCCCTTAATTTCATCTTCTTTTGCTACAGGCAGAGAAAGTGTGCCTTTAAAATTAAATATAAACTTAGTTGATTCATTTAGCCAAATGGAACATGCTTGTAAAACACACGTTGAAACATTCTTACATATGATTTACTATGTGTGGTTTTTATGTATATTTTGCGAGAGTCACTTTATTTGAACAGTTAAAAGTGATTTTACTTGACATTTCCTTTCTTTTGTTCTAATGCAGAGCTACAAGATCCACCAACAGAATGGCCTTCACATGTGACCAGTGTGGAAAGGAGTGGCCAAAAGCTTCCAAACTAGAAGAACACTACAGAACTCACACAGGAGAAAGACCATACAACTGTGACCAGTGTGGGAAGGGATTTAAACACTCTGATGTGCTCAGTCATCATATGACAATCCACACAGGAGAAAAACCATTCAGCTGTGATGTTTGTGAGAAGACATTTACACGGACAAGCCACCTAGAAGAACATATGAGAATCCACACTGGAGAGAAGCCGTACAAGTGTGATGAGTGTGGGAAAGCTTTCTCTCGACAATTCCATCTCAGTAGACACAAGAAAACTCACTCCTGGCAGATACTATATGAGTGTGACCAGTGTGAAAAGGCTTTCAGAACATCCCAGGAACTGTCCAGTCACCACCAAATGCACATAGGGGAAAAACTATACACCTGTGACCAGTGTGGGAAGAAATTTATAGACACCGGTGACCTCAAACGACATATGAGAATCCACGCAGAGGCAAGACGTTACAGCTGTGATGTTTGTGAGAAGATATTTTCACGGTCAAGCAAACTGGAAATACACATGAGAATCCACACTGGAGAGGAGCAATTTAAATGTGAACATTGTGCGAAGGAATTCAAAGAGTCTCGTTATCTCCATCGACATATGAGAATCCACACAGAAAAATCATACAGATGTGATGTTTGTGAGAAGACATTTTCATGGTCAAGCAACCTAGAAGCACATATGAGACTCCATACAGGAGAGAAACCATACAGCTGTGATGTTTGTGAGAAGACATTTTCATGGTCAAGCAACCTGGAAGAACATATGAGAGTCCACACTGGAGAGAAACCATACATCTGTGATGTTTGTGAGAAGACATTTTCATGGTCAAGCAACCTAGAAGAACATATGCGAATCCACACTGGAGAGAAACCATACAGCTGTGATGTTTGTGAGAAGACATTTTCATG